GGCAAGTGTCCCGAGTTTCTCTGGGACGGAGCGATCCTGCTAACTAGATTGATTGTCCACCACTGGCAGCTCATGAAATGAAGCTCCGTAACATCCCGCCAGACCTGGGTTTTAGCAATCGTGAAGAGCTGGATCAAACCTTGTGCTGAGAACAATCCTTGCCTTGAAAGTATCAGAAATGTGGGAGCAGAGCTTTGCACCGGGCTTATTCATGGGAAAAGTGTGGATAAAATCCTCTTGGAACCAAAGGACTGGCATTTTAACCCCAGAATCCCTGCCCCCTAGAAAGCAAGCTAAATTATTAATATGAAATGACAGAAGTCAAAAAACTGACAGTATTTGCCAAGTGCCACATTCGTTTGCAGATCCTCTCAGGCTGTCAATGTGGAACTCCTTTTCTGTTTGCAGGCGCCATCGCCAATACCTTGTACACAGGTTTATTTAGGCATTAAACAAAACTGAGCTGTAGGATAGGATTTACCATTGGCCCTAAAATGCCTGTGCCTGCAGTCGAGGGCTCTCTAGTTCAAGCTTTGTCGCTGCTTCTAGCAAATCCAAGAGCTGTAGGAAATTCCCCGGTGAGAAGAGGTAGGATCCCTCCTCGTTTGCTCATCGTGCTCAGTATAGCACATCTGGTCGTTCGGCACGTGAAGAGCCCGAGTCTGAACTCCAGATCCTAAAAATACACCCAGAGTTAATTATCCCCAGATTTTTCCTCAGCTATGTGCTTTGGACGTTGCCCAGGAAGCCTGAGAATATGTTCCTCGTGTTATAAGCACATCCTATCTTCTGACCACAAAGGTTGCATTAGCTCTGGTAAGAGGAGATTTTGCATATTACTCTAACAGGCTCCTACTTCCACTCTCGTGTAAGTAGGGCAGTTTCTGTCCTGTGTGACAAAGAGTGCCTGAAGGGAACTCGAGAATGAATAGGTTTAACGAAAAGTATTTTAGCCTAAGCCTTGTCCATCTTTAATTAGTTATCAGGGTTAAAGGAGGGGTCAAGAGCCTGAGGCTGCTTCAGGACTAATGTGTCAAGGAAAAGTGAAGCCTAACACTGAAGAGGAAACGATGCTCCTCAGGGGTTTAATAATTTTCTGACCCCGTGTCAACCATTACGGCTCCTAATGGCAGCAGGGCCGCAGCGCTCGCGCAAGGCTGCGCTCTGCAGGTGGCCGGGAAGGGATCCCGCCGCGAGCGGCCTCCAAAGGGAGGATCGTGGGGCCGCCCAGATCATGGGGCCGCCCGCGCCCCGGCCCCGTGCCCAGGAGGGGGGGGCGGGCGGCGTGACCTCTGCCGGCGCCACCGCCTCAGTCGCCTCAGTCGTGCCCGGTTTCTAGTCAGCTGGAGCGCCCTGAGCTCACGCGTGCGGAGCAGAGCGCCGCTAGGCCTTCCGTAACGCAACACTCACGTGTTGCTCTCTGGTTTTGCTGATTGACAGTGTGAGGGAGATGAAGTTCCTGAGACAATCTCCAACCCAATTTCAGTCTTTATTTTATTTTTTTTCCAAGCATGAGTGGAGCCTGTGTAGAAAGGGGAGTAGTCCTGCACACGCTGGTGGTTAGGGAGAGGTTCCACTGACCTCGCTTGTCCTTTATGCAGACATGGGTTTATTCTCAGAAGCTGCTCGTTGGGTAGTCTCAACACTGTAACTGACCCCTCGCACCGTACGGGCGCCATAGCAAAGTTTCCATGAGAATTAACAAACTGCTGAGCAGTGCAAAGCTCCGGGACTTGCTAAGCTGAGGATGATGTGGAGTGAGAGTTCCGATGAGCCTCCTGCCTTCCCACCAGCTCCAGTTATCCGCCTTGGTAATGGTGGAAGGTGGTGGATCTCTTTTCTGCAAGGGGGCAAAACGAGGAGGTTGCTCATGGTTGGGTGTTGTGCTCCACTGCTTGGGATGGCAAAAGAGAAGGTGCATCATGGTGCTCAGGACGGTCTCTTCACTTTAAGGTTCATTTATATTTACATTTTCATTTACATTTTTAGAGTCTCATTGCTTTACACTTCACATGTATGCAAGACACTGATTTACCTTCATCTTTTTTTATCTATTTACACTGTTCGGTAGCCAGAATTTGTCGGTAACTCCATTAGGTTTCTTACTCATGAGAATAGTCCTAAGCCTGACTGCCCAAGGAAGAGTGTGCTGCTTTGCTTGTGCTTCCAAAAGTGTTTTCAGTGCCCTGTGCGAAACCACACTGTGCTCTGGCATTTTCCTACGTGGAAGCCACAGCCAGCGAGCACCTGTGCATCTCTTGCATCTTTAGGCAGCAACCTGCAGTCCGACAGAGTTTGCCTTCGGGCAATGGGAAATTTCTGGCTACAGAATCTTAAATATCACGTCTACGTCTACACCAGCAATTATTGCCTTGGATTAGCAATACGATAAAGAAATATCTCTCTTTCAGAGGTTGGCAGGAGTCATTTTGAAGACACATGTTTTCTCTTTGGTTTGCTCTTGATCTGACTGATGATGAAATTACCAGTAGCCTTGGGAGAAGCAGAAACTTTAATTATAATTATGAACTAAATGAACTGGGCGAAGATTTTTTTTTTTCCTAGACAATAATATATAACTTGCAAGTTGCTCTGTAAAGCTGGTGCACCACATGAAAAAGAGTTTTCCCTATTTGGGTCTGTCAGTCCCTTTGAGAAGAATTTGCTTCAGGTCTCATGCAAAGAGCTAATGGTCCCATATATTATGATATAAGCAATAATAATTTAAGTCTCACAGCTCGGAAATGCAGTGAGTGATAAGATGGGCTGATGAGAGTTAAAACTTGATATCTGGTAATAAAACTAGTGATCTAGAGATGAATAGATTGGTGTACGGAGCACAATGTTTCCCTGCCACAGATTAGAGCTGGGATACTGGTTCATAAAAAGTGAAGTATACCATAAAATCTCCTTTTGCGTTTGTTACGCATGAGGAGCTACAATCCACATAGTTTTGCAAACAAAAGCATGAAAAGAATAAGGATCCTTCCTGAAATCAAAGCAGTTTTGACTTGGGGAAATATTCTTTTACCGTAAGTGAAAAATCAAGCTGTAATTATTATGTATGACATCCCATGCCATATTTTACAAGTGCTCCTTTCAGGGACACTTATGCTGTTTCTCTATGGCTTGTATCTGACTCACATTTAAAAAGGAATGCAGCGGTAGGATGCTACAGAAGGCAAGTAAGAGAGCGTGCCTAAATTCAGGCCAGCACCTAAAATAGAAGATCCAAATTAAATTTTTTTAGATTAAAATGGCTTTTGTAAATCTATTTTCCTAATATGAATGAATTGCGTGAGTGAAACTGGTTTAGCAGTACCATTAATCAGGCCTTTTGTCTTGCTAATATAGATCAGTCAATAACAACAGATGGGCTGTACACTTTGTTATGTGAAAATAAAGATGAATGGGGCGTATTGCAGAAGCAAACTTAACGTTCAAACTTTTTGGGCAAAAAAGGGGGGTTTGTTTCAACAGGGAAGCAGCGTGTGGGCTTCACGTTGGGATTTGTGTTTGAGCAAGGTAGTAAGGAAATCAATTATTATAGATGTTGTTATAGATGCAGGTGTGCTGGGACACATGATTATAACACAGTAACCTCTAGGAAAAATAAGTCTGTGTTGGTTACTCTACTTTATGTGCATAAATACATATGTAGAATATACTTCATACTGTAGCCGATAAGAAAACTGGCTGACCTACTACCTTGTGGAGAAACAGCTATAGCCTAACTGAGCAGTGAGATTATACTGTAGTGTGTGAGGCCGTGCTGTGAATCCACTTGAACATAAAAACAGTATTTAAACGTTCGAAGCACTTACCTTTGGGAAGGAAACCCAAAGCCCACACGTGTTCCCAGGGCTGATTAACCAGCACTGAGGAAATAATGAGGAACCTCCCCCCCCCCTTTTTTTTTCCTCTCTTTTCTGCAGCTCACTGATCCCTCCTTTTGGACTTTCTAGTTGTGTCTTTGATAAGATACAGTTAATTGGTCTGGCAGCGTTAGCATCACCTTTGATAATGCACTGAGATCTATTGGTGAAAATAAATACGTTTGTTCTTCCAGTCACCAGGAATTAGCGAAGCAATACTTGTTTAATTATAAAACATATGTGTGCTTTGTTAGTTTCCATCTGCCTGCTCGCTGATTTGCAATTAAATGACCAGAAGAAAAAGATAGGTCCTGTGGCAATTCAGGGGAAATGATTCATCCCTGATGTTTCTGGGTGGAGGAGGTGTGTGCAGCAGCAGTCCAGGAGAAAAGGGGCAGCAGGAAGGAGAGGGAGGACACCCTCATGGAGAAAGGGTGTCGCGTGAAAGTCCTCTTGCCTTAATTCAAGCATCTTCAGTTGTCGTGGATCCAACCTTTGACTTGGACTTGTCTTCCTCTTCTGCGAAACTGGCGGTGAAAATGGAGTGAGAAATGTAACAGGGAATGGAAATGGGACTTCCCAGGAAAGGATGCTGCTGTGGTCAGAATGTAAAGAATGAAAATCTAGTCTACCCAGATGCTCTATATGGTCAAATTTAATTTTCAATGTTTTTCCCTCCTTCCTTTCTTTTCTGTGGCCAGAATGAAAAGGAAACGGCAGAAGACAAGGAAGGAGGGAAAAGTTGTTTGGAGCATTTATGCAGACCCGATTAGTTGGAGAAGGTAGTTGAAACGTTACTGTATGTCCCAGTTTTTTCCTTTGCATGGCAAATATCAGGCCTTATGGGGCCCGTTCTTCTGTCCTCGCAGCGGTGAGGATCCAGATGACCTGGGTGTAGTGAGAGCAAGGGAAGGAGCTGCCCGGTGCTGCGTCTTCACCGAGACTGATGAGGACAAGCCAACCAGCCTCCCATAGTGTTTTTAGCCTGATGTTGGGGGCTGTTTTATTGATCCTCAGCGCCGTCCTTCACTGTGGATAGCGATAACTGCTTCGGAGGCAGTTGGACGACGAATATGTGTATCAGTTTTGGCTGTTTCATTTGTCCTCTCTGTCTTGCTTTTACAGATGATGATTTTTTCCATGAACTTCCGGAAACTTTTCCATCTGATCCTCCCGAGCCCTTGCCCCACTTCCTCATTGAGCCTGAAGAAGCTTACATTGTGAAGAACAAGCCCGTGAACCTGTACTGCAAAGCGAGCCCTGCCACGCAGATCTACTTCAAGTGCAACAGCGAATGGGTCCACCAGAAGGACCACGTGGTGGATGAGAGGGTAGACGAAACCTCCGGTGAGTTTGTTTTATCTTGGGAGGAAGGAGAGGGAGAAGTTAAAACACGTTCGTATCAAGTCCGCCTTTATAAGCTAGCGACTACTCGTAAGACAGACACTTCTATTTACCCTTAATAGAGACCTAAATACAGATATAAATTCTGTGCCAAACAGTAGCTGTCACAGCAAAGCCTGATGTCTGAGCTCGCGTCAGCTCCTAAAATGTGGCTGTAGAGAATCCTGCTCAGTCTAAAGCAAAGCCATGTTTCCAAAACATAAAACCAGGCACAAAAACAGAGAGCAGCTTCACCAAGTCAACTCCTTGTTCAGCTCTCCTGGGTCACCAGTGCCCAGGGATGGTGAAAGTGTTGTAGTCACAGGGGAAAGAACACATTTTCACCAAAGTGTTGATGAGCGTTTGGGTTTTTCTTGGAATGGGGGCTTCTGGGAGAGCTTAGGAAAAGGAGGAGAAATTTAATCAGCTTCCAGCAAGAAAGGAGGAAAAAGCTCCTGGGGGCACAGCCTAGAACAGGACATTGACTGCAGCAAGCCACTGCCAATACTCCATTGTGCTCCTTCTCCTGCTCCACACCGTCCGTAAGAAGAACCTTAGGTTAGCAAAGAATTGAAGAAAAAAGCCAAGAACCCCATCCTTCCTCAGTCAGTATCAGAAACCCTAGCGACATTCAGGGAAGACAAATAGGAGCCTCATAGTACCAAAATAAATAAATAAATAAAAAGGCGAGTAAAAACTTGAGCTGTAAACTAGTCTGTGTCAAAAATTGTTCCGTTTGGGGAAGACTGGTAATCAATAGAGTTTGTGACATGCAAGGAGAGAAATAGGACTTAGTGCTGTCTTGAGGGCTGTGAAAAATAACTGGCTATCAGGCAGGAAGGTAACTTTCGTTTGGGAATCGCACCACCACTTGGTCTAATTACTTAGAAAAATAACTCCACCAGATGTCTTGGAAGTCTCTTGTGAACTGGGTTTTATTTGTTTCAGCTCATTTATTTGCACAGAGATCAAAAGCCCAAGCTTTTAATGGTGCTGTGGTGCTCTCAGCTTGAGAAAAAAAGAAGGTAGATGTAGGGAGGTAAGGCTGTAGAATGAAAAATATGTATTAAACTTTGGGTCTGTTTGTTTGTTAGTAAGAACAGGCTATTCCAGCAGATTCACTGCAGCAAAATGACTAAAAAGAGAAAAGCTGGTTACTTAACACATCTTCTATTTTTTTTCACCTGTGGGAGTCCCCTGGACTGAATAAGGACAAGCAGGAGAGCAGCTATCACTGTTAATTCTTTAAGCTTTTATTGACATCAGCATTCAGAGGCTGAATTGTGCCTCTGTACAGTACAGCCAAAGGCAACTCTAAAATGAAGGGTCTGATTCTTCTGAGTGACCCTAAAGGAAATAGAAAAGTGTTTCCATTGAGCTCAGCAGTTCTGCGTCGAAACAGGTGAGGGAAGAATAAGATTGGAAATTATTGTTTTCAGGCTTTTTCTTCTTTGTGAGAAGACAGATTAGCATTCCATGTAAACAATGAAAAGAAGTAGGCTTAGCTCTCTTATTACGGCAGCAGCAACTCAAGACCTTTAGGAAACCAGTTGTGAATTATGTGCATCAAAAATAACACCCTGACAACAAGTTATTGTCCGTCTTGGTTGACCCAGTTACAAGACAGAACTGCTGAATTAAGCACTGCTCTTATATGAAAAGAAGATGGTTGAAAGTGCTACATACTTGTAAAGTAACTTAACTGCTAGAAATTCTAAACAGGATGAATATATAGCGTAATATTAGTATGTCAAGTACAATTGGTGCAATCATGCCAGATAAGATGAAACATGGAGAGAAAGCCCCATTATATTAATTCCCCCAGAAATGTAATGATAACAAAAGGAAGATTCTCTGGAAATAGCTAAGATTAATGCATTCTATAAGCTTCTGTGTAGGAGGAAATTTACGCTGTTAAGAAAAATATCAAATTGGTAAAAAGCTTGAGTCCAAAGTAGGAGCAGTAGGTTATGTACCTGCGTTCTCATGTTAACACCCTTTCTCTGGAGCAGTTTATGGAGCTCAGAAAAACATGGAAACACTCTTGCGGTCGCTATATTTTTTGATACTAGCGTAGAGTTCTCTGCAAAGCAAACTTTTCTTTTTCCCCTCAAGAAATGCCACTGTAGAAGAACTTCATGATGCCACAAATGAAATTGCAGCAGAAAATGTAGAAGCCCAGTCTTGAAGAGAGATCCATCTGAATGTATTAGAGGGTGAATGTTCTGAATAATAAACAGGAGCAACTACCATCTAAACAAAACCCATCTCCAACTAGAGATTAACTTAAGCTCCTGGACTTCCAGGGGGGAAGGGAGGGTGCACCAAAAGCACATCGGATTATTAGCCTAAGAGCCACACAGACCTGCCAGCCTTGCCCTCTCCTGTCCTCAGGTAGAAAGGCAAGAGGAAGGAGAGTAAGACAAATTAAAAAACATAGGAGAAAAGAAGTAAAATGTCAAGTAGGCATTCCTTTCTGCAGCGCTGTCTGTACAGAGGGAAGGAGGACTGGAGTGCAGAGGTGATGCTAGAGGTGCAGCATCTTGGGATGGGAAATGTTGCACCACAGAGAGAAACAGGTTCGGGCCTGCAAAGGACTGTATGTTCATGGGCTCCGGGCCTGTGGAAGCACTGGCTGTGAGTGAAATTTGTGTAAAAACAATTAATTCCTCTTATAAGGCAAATTTATTACTGTCACTGATAAAGCCAGAGCTGAGGGCACACAGATGGCAGAACGGGAGTGCAATGTGACTGTTACAAACCAGGGTTCTAGGTCTATGCTCCCTTGCACTGCGGGGTGTTTTTGAGCAGTGGGTAATGCACTGCCATGTAGCACATGCACGGGGGCTCCGTGGGAGCTGTTGTCTTCTGCTTGGAGAGGATGAGAGCAGTAGTGGTGACAGGATGTTCTAGTACCTTGTTGTTTAATTAAATTAGCCTGAAAAGAGCCTCTTCCAAAAATTCCGAGCAGGGCACTTGAGAAAACAGAAGCTCTGTCTATGAGAAAATTTATGTCTGTTTTTTAATCCTCAGACTCATTGGAGTTTTTCTTCTTTATGAAAAAGTTAAGTATTTTCACGACAAAGTCCAAACGGATGCTGTGAAAATCTTTAGAGCGCATTTTTGGCAGCTTCATTTCCTAGGTACATGAAGTACAAGGCAGGGCATGGTCTGTTTTATGTTTTTACTGAAATATTTTCTCATTATCATGGAAAAATATATGTAAGGAATATGAACACTCATTTTAAAAAGCAAAGATGAAAGTTGTTTTGAAGGAACACATTTGATTTTATGACTGCCTGTCATAAAAGATAACAGCACAGAAAGTAAAAGGAGCCCTGCAGAACTGATGCTTTTTGGACCAAGTAAATTCCATTGCCACAGAACAGGAAGCTTAAGAGCATCAATAGTTATTAGAGCAATTTGTGCACATTTTCCAAATTACTGTGTCTCTGAAAATGGCCGTAGCAAGGGGTTCTATTTTGCATATGTGCTCTTTATGGAGAAAAATTTTTGCTGGAAAAAAAAGCATTTCTGCAGCAGCAAGAGTTGCAGATGTATAGCAGACAGGCTTGCACCCCATAGATTTGTGTGCAGAAGGATTTAATGCAGCTAAATTGGAAAAAACTTCCTATTGGAAGTGCTGCACAACAGGAGAAACAGGGCTACAGGGACTGTGTTTTTTTCTTTTCCATTTGAATATATGTTGTAATAGTTTACCCGTGACTATTAAGGTGGAATGATCTATAGGCCCCTTCTTGCCCTCTGCAATGCCAGTGACATGCTGCTCTTCTCTCTCTCCTTAAAGCAAGGAGAAAACAACATTTGGAACTATTTTAAGTGCTAATTTAATAGACATATTGGGCAATTGAGCCAGCGTTATTGTTCGCCTACCCTTTTCTGTCTTCTTTTGCTTGGATTTGTAGGGAAAGGGAAAGGAGAGCTCGGGGATCCGCTTACACCTTCCTGGCAGTTCCCAAAAAGCAGTGAGGTAGAATAAGGTCTCGTGAGGTGCCAGCCAAGGCGAAATGAATGTTATAAAAATGCTTATGAAACGCAGGGTTTACGGGAACGCCGTTGTGGAAATGCCCATTTTGGAGGCCCGGATGCAGAATTTGGGGCAGCCCCCATAAGCCCAGCTCTGTGGGAAGGCGGCAGGCAGGCGCCGCACGCCACGACCCACACGTGTTCCCTTCCGTGCGGCTCTCTTCCCTCCCTTCATCTTCCCTTAACCTCCTGTCCCCTCTCATTGCCCTGCTGTAGCCTCCTCATTCGCTTTGTTATTGTTCAAAAGCCTGAAAGACAGGGAGAAAGGCTATTTTTTTCCAGACAATTATGGCCAGTTTCCGCTATTAGCTTCTCTGAGGAGATGCCAAGCGATGCCAAGTGCTGCAGCTCTCCTTCAGCCTGCAATATTTTGGCTCTCTGGGGTAGAATACCTTGGGGTTATGTTAGTAAGGGGAGCCGCATATCATAAATAAGAATTGTTTTCATTCCCCTGTTGTCACAAGTCATTTTATTTTGCGTTTATCATTGGATCAAATCCATTACAAGCACCAAGCACCCTGATTGGAAGTAATTATTTCTCTGCAGCATATTGCTGGTTTTAGCTGTGCTCCCTCAGTTCTCACCCGTAATCCAACTCACTTCAAGGAAATTTAGAAACACGTCCGTGTATCTTTTCCCAAACGTTCCTGTTAATAGTTTTGAGATGTGCGCTAAAATTGGCGCTGCAGTTCATTTTTTTTGCAGTAATTCAAAGTGTGCCCCCTCTTTGGAAGGATAAGTGGAGCATGTTTACATGTTATGGATGGGGGTGAATAGATCAGGAAACTCAATTTCTCCAAAGAACTGGAGCTCCCCAAGGAAACACTGCGTGTTTCCTCACATAAAAATACGTGTACAAACCCGTATTGTTTTTCCTATTTGACATTTAGGTTACTGGTATTTTAGATGTTGCTCAG